ATAGAAGCGAGGTTGGTTCTGGTAGTGTGCTGCTGGCTTGCTAGCGGCACGGCTGTGGCGTTTNGTCCTGCGGGTGCGCTTGTGGACGCTACCTCGGCCCAGGTACGCGTACCAGAGGTTGCTGCCACGAGGTCATCGACGCGTGTCTTTAGCTCAGCGATCTCGTTAATAAGTTTCACGTTATGGTCGATAATCGCTTGCTGGTTCTTTCTAATCTCTCTAGTCTCGCGTTTAAGGTTCTGGATCGTTTCATTNTGCTGCTGGATGATCTTGGTTAACGCGGTAAGTAGATCTTTGTTGGTAGCGGTGCCCTTCCTAGCTTGTCGGGTAGGTTGGCTGCTTTCGATCTGGATAGTGTCGGAGTCGTCGGCTGATAGGTCTAGCTGTAGTGGTCGCCTGCGGTAGTGTTCGTTTTGCTCGATAGTNTTTCTTGCGCGCCTCTTTAGTGGTGCTGGTAGCTCGGTTGGTAGGGATGTCGCTTCGCGGTCGCGTTCAGGGGTCGAGATTGCCATCTCTTCCATGCGTCCAGATCGCAAACTCCTGGGCATATACAGGAGCTATTTCTCCAACGGTACGGGTTTTCTCAACACAATCTATTTTCTGGACTCACTGCGGCATACACTCGCTAGCGATTGCGGCTTTACGCTTACACGCAGCTACACAGCGGTTTGAACAGCCCCGCCTTCCATACAAAGCTTACCATGATAAGTCAGCTAGTTGCAGGCTAAAAATAATAGCAAAGGTAACTTAGGTGCGCAGACGGTTCCTGGAGACGAGATTTTATTAATATTGGAGAGAATGCACGTCTAATCTCTTTCATTAATATGGTGCTTGTAGGGATCACTTACTAACATGTATGCAGTTCGTTCTATGAGAACGGTGTCACTAGAAAGGGGACAAAGAATTGGTGATGTATATCTATTAGTACCTGTCCATATCACCTGTATTGTTATGTAGCTAGCGGACTTAAATTCCAGGAAGGAAATACGCACACAAGATTCGTTTATTGTTTCCTGATGGAAAAAATATGGCGATAAATTGCTATAATATCCTAGTGGGTACTAGTCGGTCTATTGGATACAATTTTTATATTGTATCTAGCGAACCGCTGCTAAAAGAAGACTGGGGATTAGTACGCGATGCGCTTGTGCATCTGCTCTCTTTGGAAGGCATATATGGCGATTGTGTGATGTATACATATGATATAGGGACAGAAGAGGAGATTATAGATAGATACGTAGGGGAAAAACCACCTTCATCTGGGTTTTAAGTTGGCAGTGTGGAAGAGCTGCTATCTTTCTTGCGAGAATTTGCCTATGGACTTGGCAGATGTTGACTTAGTGAAGCCGTTAGTGAGGCAACTTGCGCCAGTTAGAGTTAGGTTATGGTGATTGGAAAAATAGGTAATGTCAATCCCTAGTTACTGTATGCTTATGTATGCATCCTATGTTACATATATAAGGTCGCTGAAAGCACTTCTACGCAAGAACTAGTAAGCAGTTTAGAGGATCGCAGCTAAAGCGCTGTGCAGCAATCATCCACAGACTAACTAGTTACTTAGTCAGTGAGACCGCGAATTCTGGGAGTTTCGCTGTGCAGAGCAAGAAACACGAGGAAAACTCCCAGTGTAGCAAGGGCAAAAGTCAGTATGCATCCCACCACGAAGCATGGGTCTGCATTAGTGCATTGACACCTAGTATCTATAGAGTCAGTATAGTCTCTAAACACTAACAATTACTTTATAGTATACTGCGATGCATCTTGTTACCAAGACTCATAAAAACAATCGGCTCAATTGTCAATTGACTATAAATCTTGTATTTCTTTAGGTGCTAGACAAGTTTCGAACTACACACAATAGGTAATATACATTCAATATGTATATCAATTAAGTCAAACACTGATGTTCTAGCATTAGTGTGCATGCACGGCTGCACTTTCTCATTTCAAGATACAGGTGAGGCAAGTGCCAGGGTATCAGTACAGCGCGTCAAGGTTTCACGGCTCTTACTGAAATGTAGCGTCTATCTCCCCAATTCAACCATGTGTCCGTACCAGCCATGACATTGATGAAACGGTCTTGTATCCCAAACAGTTTGAATATCTGATAAGGCACGTAGCATAACACACCAAAGAGTCTCCACATAGGCAGCACCTCATCAGTCAGGTCTTCGAGGGAAAAGTCTTTGAATCCTGCCGCTTTCACGAGCTCTTCGTAAGCACCCTCTGGAAGTGTGTTTTGACAGTGAGAAAGTCGCAACACATCATGCAGTTTTCCCGAATCACGACTAATATCAGCTTCGTGTAGAACCAGGACACCGCCTGTCTTAAGGAGTCGCTTGAAATTGTTGAGAACTCGGATTGGGTCATCCGCATGGACAAAAGTCTCCATGGTGTAAATTCCATCAAACGATGCATCGGGAAACTGGCTCAGGTTATGGTAGTTGGCATAGCCGACTTTGATCCTGTCCTGTAGGCCGTATTTCTCAATATTCTTCTTTGCATCAGCGATGTGGTGTGGCGTGATGTCGATAGCCTGTACATCGAGGCCGCGTCTCGCCATGGTCATAGCGACGTATCCCGAGCCGGCACCAGCATCGAGGACTCTATCACCTGGTTTTAGGCCCAACCTCCTGTACAATTTATTCTCCATAGCTCGCTGAGCTTTGGATATAGGAAAGGGTGACAGCTGTCCTTTCGCATACAATCCACAATGCCTTACATTACCGAGGAGGAGCCAGTATCCGAGACGTGATTCGAGTGAGCTATAGTAGGCTTCAACGGACGGTTCAGGACCGTCGGTGCTCGCGACCAGACCTGCAATGGAGTGATTAAGAGCTGTGGACTGAAGCAATGAACAATGGAGACATACCAATCAATACGGACGCCAGCAAGAAAAGAAATGCACCCACGTATCGACGACGGAAAGTGCGACCCTCGTAACGCTTCGTATTAGGCAGTATTTTGAGAAGCCTTGATGTTTTTGTAATAACAGATACATGCAGGTGTTCCTCACGTTGTTATAATAATGGGGAAAAGACTAATAGAAAGTACCAGAAGCAAAAGCCACAGTACTAACTGAGAGGGAAGTCACGCAAACATTTTTTACAGATGATAAAGAGGGGCTGAATGCGCTGACTTCTCATCGTGAATTTTGCTGATCCATCTACGACGGAGAAATTTTCTCATCACCACCTAGGCTATTATCTAAGATATTAGGGCGAGGGTAAAACTACTATACCTAGAGCGTCGCCTAGCATTACCAAAAGTAAAATCAGTGGAGCGACGTTTGAAGCAGAAAAGACGGCTGTTATCCACTTTACTCGCAAGGCGTATAAGAGTGCCGCTGAGCTCTTTGTGATAAAGGGGCAGAGTGTTTCGCCCGAGGACCACATTAAAATACTAGGCGTGCTCATGGAAGAGAGGCTCAAGTAAAAGCATGTTATATATAGAACCTGTTATGAACGGAATATGACCTAGTAACCTCCCCCTGCATACCGAAAGACCCCTGCGTCGCGATAAGAACAACAGGTATTTCGACTTTACTTCAGCTTTGTTCTTGCTCTATAAAGTATCTATGGTCAATAACCTTGCAACGATACATATAGGCAATTCTACTCAGGTATTCGGTTCTGGAATTGCCCCCCCCCATCTCAAAACTAAGCTCTATTAGGCTTAGCGTTAGGGCTCTGCAGAATCATGGGAGAGCTTGATAAGAGCCGGAATTATGCTAGAAATTCTACTGCTACATGGCCCTAGATGCTGACACTCTTAACTACGCTTACAGTCAGTAAGCAGAACGAAGGGGCAAAGGTTATCTGACCTAATTACCGAATAATCAGTTATTTGACTTA